CAGGCTGGACCCAGTGAACGTGCCCCACGGTCCTGAGCACAGACCACTTGAGAGTTGTCCTTGAAAATTAACAGCAGTATGACTTCATTTTTTTTCTTTTTGAGGCTGCTGCTGTGGCAGCTCCTAATAACTCGATAATAAAGTGCAAGAGACCATTAAGATTGGTCTTGCTTGGCTTTTACTCACCGGCCTCTGTGATAGGCGTGATCGGGGCAGTGCGTGATGGTGAGTGCCGGAAGCCACACGGCCCCAGCAGGACAGGTTAGCCGGCCACCTGCACCTTCCCCAGGCGGGCCCTCCCTGACCGGAAGGAGCGTTCTGCGGAAACCTGCATCGGAGCTTCTGAGTGGAAGCTTCAGGCGACCTGAAATGGACTGAGAAAGGGAGAACTTTAGCCTTCCTGGGAGGGGCAGGGTAGTGTCACCCAAGAATCAGCTCTGAAAAGAAACAGACTTGGTTTAAAAATCCTTGTTCTGTTGATGCATTTCCCTGTCCAGGAGACATAGGATCACAACATCACGGTTTCCCAAGTCGTAAAAGGTGATAACCTCCACTCTAGCAGCCTGAGAGGGTTGAATGAAAGTGCCCGTGTGACACTGGGAGCAGAGTACGCGGTGTTTGCCTCTTTATAAAACAGTAACTGAAACCCACTTTCCATCACAGACAGAGGTCAGAATCAGTGAGGACCCTCTAGGTTATTATTAACCAGTTCCCTTTCAGTAAGAATGTGATACCGCAGGTCCAGGGTCTCCAAGCAGCCTCAACCTTCTCACCCACTGTAACACACGGAAATCTGCAGGCTGATAGAAACATACATGTTTTATGTCTCGTCCCCATCGGAGGTGGCAGCAAAAGGGAGAAAATAGAATCCAGATATCATATAACTACCTGCAGGGTTAGAGCCTGCCCGGGACCTCAGAGGACCAGAGCACATGACATGGTGCCTTACAGTAACATCATACCTGCCATTGCTGGCTTTGTAAATACGAGTGCAATTTGACAGTTACTAACATCTGCTCTAAACCTACCACGCAATGTATTTGCAAAGGGAGTGGAAAGGACTTTGATATTAGTCACCAGGCAATCGTATAGAAAAGAAGTTGAGTATCTTCTGAGTTCTGTTTACATTCTTAATAAAGGGGCTATTTCAGATCCAGCCTCAAGTTTTAGTAAGCAGACCTAGGCAGCTCCATTCACAGTGTCTTCCCCAAACAACCAAGAGAGCTACCCTTGGAACCAAGAAAGATAAGCATTTTGTATGTAATAGTGCGACTTAGCACTCTGAAGTGGGCGTCACTGTCCTCACTTCACAGATTAGGAAACTGAGACTCAGAAATTAAATAATCTGCCTAGGGTCACACAGTCAGTTGTGAAGACAGGATTTGAAACCCTCTGGCTGAAATGAGCTCTAAACCCCTGTGCTCTACTCATCAAAAAATAAGTCAAGCTCGTCTTGCTCTCCATAGAGAAAGGACATGGATGGCTTTTATAGCTTCAGAAAAGAGATGTGGTCAGGATTGTTGGTGAGCAAAGAGCTGTGAGGACGGCCATTAGGATGCCAGGCAGAGGGAAGGGTGATATGTCACGAAGAACGAGCATTTGCCCGAAGGCGGGAGGCTGGAGCTCAAACCTGAACACGGCTTCTTCCTTGTTGGGTTACGTTACACCCGTTACTCATCCCTCATGGAATTGTCACCATCAGCACAGTAACCTAGGTGAATCTGCTCTCCTAGTTCTAAGGCTCTAGGTGAAGGTCAGTTATTACGATAATTCAGTTAGTTTCAGTCCCACCATTGACTTCCTCTGGAAATCTTTGGAAGTAGCTCCTGACCCCTAAGCCTTCTCATCTATAAACCAGAGCTGAGGAGACAGCATCCTTCAGTGACTCCCTCCAGAAGCTGTTCTCCAACTGCAGTAGCCTGGAATCTTTGGGTGTGCTGTTAAAACAGGGTCCTGAGCCCTGCAGGTTATGCCCCAGTGCCACTGGATGGAGCCTGGTGACATTCAGGGTAACGCTCTGGGAAGGGCCACACCCTCAGGATCACAAAGAGCAGCGATTTCTGCAGGTAAAGATTTTGACCAAGGTCACCTGTGGATCTGCCAGCACCAGGCCTCAAGCCCTGATACCTAGATCCTGTTCTGACTGCACGACTGGGCTCAAGAGGACATCACAGCTCCCACCTGGGCACGGGGTTTCCATCAAGGGATGGATTCTAGAGTATACCGCTGAGGCTTCCAGCACCCCTCAGACGTTTATTAAATGGTTAAACATCGTTTCCTTTTTCTTCTTCCTCTGCAGACACGTTTGCAAGCAAAGTGGCAGCCACCCAGGACCAGTACGCCGACGCATCCATAGGTAACGTCACTGGCAGCAACGCGGTGAATGTCTTCCTGGGCATCGGCGTGGCCTGGTCCATTGCGGCCATCTACCATGCTGCCAATGGGGAACAGTTCAAGGTGTCCCCTGGCACGCTCGCTTTCTCTGTCACTCTCTTCACCATTTTTGCTTTCATCAACGTGGGGGTGCTGCTGTACCGGCGGAGGCCAGAGATCGGAGGTGAGCTGGGTGGGCCCCGGACTGCCAAGCTCCTCACGTCCTGCCTCTTTGTGCTCCTGTGGCTCTTGTACATTTTCTTCTCCTCCCTGGAGGCCTACTGCCACATAAAAGGCTTCTAAAGGAACAATCAGATATAGTAAATTTATATATATATACAAATATATACATAAAAAATTATGTATAACGAACAGAGGAAACTGACATTTGTCATGTTCACTTACCTGCTGATGGAATCCAGCTTCAAGAGCATACTCTGTACCAGGGCCGAAGGGAGCCACCGTCACCTCCCCTTCCCGGGGCATCGTCACGTTGAACAAGGCTTGGAGGCAGGGCCATCTTTGCAGCTCAGCCTAGAAGGGCTGTGTTCTCCCCAGGTTCATCAATTGTGCAGTCTTTGATTTGTTTTCTGTTTTTGCTTCTTTTCGATGGGGGAGGGGGAGGGGATGAAGTCAGGGGTGGTTGTTGTTTTTCTTTGTGGGGAGGTGCGGGGGGAAGGATCAGGCTTGGTTGCTTCTCTTGTGGGAGTGAAGACGTATCTAAATGCAAACGGGGTTTTGGTAAAAATGGAAATCATTACGATGACTCTCCTTTTCTCCTGAACACTTTAAAAACCATTTGGTATTGAGAAAGGAAGTGGGCGTGGAAGCAGCAGCATGCCCAGGCCTTCACCCTGTTACTAAATTTCATGCTGGCCTCTGGAGCAGAAGCAGAGGTTGACGCTGCCTCCAAGAAGAAACCTGGGAGCTCGAATGGAGCCAAGAAAAGTAGTGGCTCTTGATCCCGTCTGACATTTCAAGGCAGGACGCCTGGCACTCCTGTCAACAGGTACAGGAGTGAAGTGCCTGGACTCCCAGGAGCGCGCACAATCCTTTCTTCCTTAGCTCTTTAGCTCGGGGCCGTGATTAGCAAAGCCCTCATTCTGGTGTTCCAGCCCGGCCAACCACCCCCAGGTCCCCGCCACCCCAGCCCCCTCCCACCCGCCCTTCATTACAAACCAGAAGAATAACCATCGAAAAGCTCGCCATCCCCGCCCCCCGTTTGCATCAGTGTGTGTCCCCGTCCCGTGCTGCTGTCGCCTGGGGTCGTCTGTCAGTTTTCTTTTCAAAGCGTCCATGGCTTGTACAGTCCTGTCCAGTCACGACCGCACACTCGCTCCTCCTCCCCGGGCCTGTGCGGGAATGTTGTCGCGGTACCTGTTCACAGCGCATGGATGGAAACGATACAGCCAAACAAAGCGCGCCTGTATGTAGTAGAGCCTAGCGTGCCCTCGCCCCCCACTCGGCAGCGCGGACTGGACGCTGAAGACATGCGTGAGTTTCCTTTTCACCTGAGTTGTAACTTTTGTTGAGTTTGAGGAGGGATCAGAGGAGAAACATGGCTTCTTGTTCGTGGGTGTGCACGTTCATTTCTAAGCAGCAGGAACTGTTACCTGGAAAGTTAGCTGTTGAGAGGACCCCAGGCAGACTGCAGAGGCTTCCCGGAGAAGGCGCCGCGCGGTGCGCGGCAGCGGCCTCTGCGGCCCAGCTGTTGGTGCGGGAAGGCCGAGGAGGAGGGCCCTGTGGAGCAGGGGATGCATTAGATGTGCCCGGGCTCTGGACTTCCGTTCCCACAACGCCCCTGCCCCTAAGTATTTATTATTTCACATCTGCTCTGTCTGGCACAGATGATAGATTGTGCTGGTTTGTTCATTTTTCGGGGGTTTTTGTTTTGTTTTTAATGTATTTGGAGCCCTGTTTCTTTCACCAGCCAGACCCCTCTGCTTGTATCTGCAGTTCCTGAGGAGGAAAGAAGCCACAGGGCCTGTAAAAGTGTGTCTTCTCCACTTACGACTAAGGAGGAAGCAACAAAATGAGATTAGTGCCTCCCCGGAGGATTGCCCTGCGAGGTTTTTTTTAACCCTGGAAAAGGAGTGGCTCTATTTCAAAATACCAGAGAGCATGTGGATAAACCCAACATTCCAAACTAGTGAGTCCACAGATGAGGATAAATGCAAGGACTTGGGCCCCCTCCCGGACTTTTCTCTATCTGTAAAGAACCCCAGGCTGGAGACACCCCCAAGTGCTCTGTATTGACTCAGAGATACTTAGCTCTCACCAGCCTTCTCTTCCGCTGAGTAATCACTGTCATCCACCATGTAATAAACACTGGAAGATGGAATGAGTAATTAGATGCTAGCGACCCACTCAGTATGCCAGGGTCTGTGCTACCTCCTGGGGACTGAGTCCTGGACAAGACGTCCAGATCCCTGCCCTCGGGGGTTCACAGTTAATGTGACTGCCATTTTCGTGAGTAAAAGCTAACACAGCCACATGGAAACAGTCTGATCTTGCGAGGAAAACACCATTAGGAAACTCTCTTGTATAAATGTTTAAAATTTCTTTAACAGAGTATAAGGCATAGGTTAGGAAAAAGTGTCCTGTGTCTCCTTAGCCAACCTTGCAGATCCTGTACATCTTCCCATTTTATACCAGATAGGGCAATCATGTTGGTGACCCAAACCACCGAGAAGGCCCGGTCAAGTCCAAGTTCTCTGTCGGACAGCAGTACTTTTCCATGCCCCTCAACACCTCTACCATGTCTCCTGTCTCCTGGACACTCCCCCTGACCTGTCACGGCCCAACACACTGGTGGCCTGACTCCTTTAGGGACACACTCTAACCCATTTTTTTTTTTTGAAGATTTATTAAATGGAAAGCTAGCCTAGAAACACCAAGTAAATAGTCAAGGGATGCAAGTTGTTTAAATATTAGAAAGCCTTTGCACTCATGTCTAGCCATATTTGGAATGTTACTAATCCCGTAGCAAATTTTCACAGAGGACTTTAAGAAATCTTAGCCGTTGGTCAATTTCAATTTCAAAGCTTTTGGGTTTGTTTGCTTTTTCAATTTTCATATTATAGGGAAAATATGATTCTGGTTGTTCAGGGCTGTATTAGTAATTATAGTTGTGTAAAATTATTTCATTCTGTTTGATTTTATTTTGTGTGTATTGTGCACAGCTTTAGGGGGGGAAGTGCACGAATTGAGCTGTTCCTTATAAATGGTACACACTATTGACACAGACAAATAAAGTTTCTAATTGTTTCTGATTTAATCACCAGTGATACAGCATATTCTGTACGGAATGTTTTCTCTCTCCTCATTGTCATCTACTTCATCTTTTGTTTTCATGTTTGGAAGAAATAAAGACCAAAAAGGTATTATTGTGCAATTGGTATCCTCATGCAAACGAAAGAAAACAGATCCCCAGTTTCAACTTGCCAATGTCAACCTTTTGGTCATACAGTGTTTCCTTTTAATGTCCCAAGAGACCACAGTGTCAGAATGTTGCCTGACACTATTGAGATAAATGTTGGCTGCTTCTCACATTTCACTGATTTTTTTTTTCCATCCTTTGGTACCACTTTATCTGCATTCTTTCTGCATCCAAGAACATGAACCCATACACAGTTCTACATCAAACCAGCGTTTAGCGTGTGGAGTATTTATATCAAATCAGTCCTAATAAAATTGACCATCAGAAGTGTGTAACTAGGTGCTTCCCAAGGAATCTTTGCTGCATTAATACTTTCTGACTAATTATGTAAGTTATTAACCTCATGTATCACATAATCGAAACAGTACAGGAAGAGGTGACACCAGAAATGAAGTAAGCACTTGTGGAAAAAGTGACTTCCAGTTTGTGTACTTACTTCCAAATCTGTGTTAATATTAGTAGATTTCGTTCTTACTGAAATAGAATTTGGACCTGTAGATGAGACTTCATTCATCTGATTGTTTTTAAAATTTTCTTTATAATTCCTCATTATATCCATATATGGTCATTCATGGAACAATTTCATAGGCAAAGGTTATTTTCTTGGAGCAACAATGTGTCTCCTCGGACCCAATCTTTCATTTAACACAAAATAAGCAGCCAACATTTACTTCTTTAGCAGCAAAAGGAGTAATTCAGTGACCAGGGTGGCCTTGACTACTTAGCGACTCTTTGGCAAAATGCTGTGGCCTAAGGGTTCTAACCTCTTATAAGCTAGTTTTTATTCTTTCAAAGATTCTGATTCGAGCCTTAACCAGTGAAGATTTTATAGAGCTTTGCTCTTTGGGTTCACAGCATAAAATAAACACACTTAAGTTTTTTTCCTTATTTTACATATATACATTATATATATTTTTTCTTTTTTTTTTTTAAAGCATGCTGTCTTAACTCTGCGTATCCTGATAGGTGGCGCTCATCCACAATGAGACTTTCTAAAGTAGTACCTTCCCCTTGACTCCAGGGGTCTCACTATTAATAAAAGCTCACCTTCCACGTGGCCTTGTCCACAGGGGTTTGATTCATTGCTGATTCCACAGCCCAGGGCCCCTGTTCCAAACCTGTCAAAATACAGAGAGATTGATCAGTTTGGACTGCATACACCTGAGGACTTCATGGACGCAATCATAAAAATAACAAATTTCCTCTGGTAGACAATGAAGCCCTCCATTCTCTAATGATGACCAAACTTCACTTTCTCAAGACTGTAAATCAGCTCCTTTCAGACTTCTTTCAATGTTTCCTTGCTCGAGGTATGAAGTCTCTCTTGTGATTATGGTTTTCTGGGTCTGATCGTGGGCAATGACGTTTGGAGCAAGTCTTGAATATAGTTTCATAACTTAAAAGAATATTTGGCCATTTCATGATCAGCCGTGTCCAGCACTGGATCTTACTGTGACCTTCAAAAGGTCCTTGGCTTTTGTTGTAGTAATCACTTCACTTGGCCAAGACATTCTAGCTGTTGGTAAAATCGAGCATTTCACCTGATAAACAAGTGCAATATGTAGAACAGACATGCAAAGTCACATTTATCTTACAGAGAAGGAAAGATGCTGTTACAAGTGGACTCATTAGCAGTCATTCAGCTCTGCCTACAGATTTTTGATAATGGATTGCACTTTTGTTTTATGTTCTTACCATTTCTAGCCACATTGTCTTCCACCCATTTCAAGTGCCGGTCGGTCCTGATGGTATTCCACCTACAAAGATAGTGCAGGAAGGTGAAACAGTGGTAGGACATAGTTCACTCATGAAGCTTAATCAGGCCATGGTTAATTATCTCCCGAAGCAGAGAATGTCTTAACCTATAGAAGGAGCAACCACTGAGCGGTGGGACTTCCCTGGCAGAGGGTGCTTTAGCTTTCCAGACAACAAGCAATGGGTGAGTATCTAGCTTGACTTTTTCCCTGCCTGCCAAGATACCCAAAAAGATGAGTTCAGAGGCTCTCTTAATTCTCAGTTGTGTCAAAAGGTCCTCTGGTTTAACCTCCTATGGGACATTTAAGTCAGCAGTCATTGTATAAGTTACTGTTGATTGGTTGTAGAACACATTGTATACATTAGTTTGATTGATTTGTAGAACAGAACATTACTTTGTAACTTGAAAAAAAGCAACATAACTTTGTAGTTAGAATTATGACCCATGTCTTCACAGGAAGACTTGCTTGACTGGAAGTTGCCTGGTAATCAATGCAGAATTTTCTCAGATGCTTGACCTGTGCACATTCTTTAGAATCATTCAGTCCTAACCTTTTTGAAAGATCCAAAGAGGTGTCCCCTTGGGGAACATGCAATCATAATCTTTCTTCTCCCAGTTTCCAACCTTTGTGGTTCTTCCATGTCTATTCCCATCATATTCATTACTCACAGTGATGTTCACTATTAGCTCTCAGCCATGGAGAAAAGGTTATGCTATAATTACTCTGGGCATGTTTTTCTGAAAGTGAATTTGTCAAAGGAAAAAATCAAATATAAAGACATTCCAGCTAGAAAACAGTCATTAGATCATATTGTGGTACCTCTATAAATGTTTAGGACCGGATTGCACCCTACAGTTGCACACTGCAGCAACATTGTTGACTCTGATCCTCTTTGGTTCATTTTTCCTGTTTCAGTGCCCATCTACCTAGCCTTTTATCCTACCAATATATGTAGGTATGGATCAAGGATAAAGACCCCCCCGTACATTCCCAAAGGTGAAGGGTGTAAACCTAGAAAAACATCATATATAGCTTCCATGTCTCCAAGAAATGTGAGTGGGCCAAATGCTTCTCTGGAGTTATTATATGCGTAAGGTGCAAATGGTAGGAAAATTCATGTTAATAACCACACACACTGACTGAGAGAGAAATTAGCTAACTTCAGTGTTACTGAGTCAGTCTTGACAGTTAATGCCCAGCCCTAATTTGTTGACTGCAGACAGATCTCCCTAGCCAAATCCAAGAGTGGTGTGTGTGGGGGGGGGGAGGGGAAGGATTAATTTACTAGAATGATTATACAGCCCTCTATACCGGAAGTTATTTATTTGCCTAGAAGGATCTGGCCAAGAGATTTTCCAAAGACCTTTCCCCTACATTCCCAAGTTGAAATAACCCAGGTTTAACTTACAGAACTTTTTATTAGATCCCTTGAAGCCACATAGTAGGACAACAGATAAATTCTCCAAGGAGATCTCTCCTGCACATGTGATCCTAGGTTTGCAAAGACCCGTCCTTCACTGTGAAGGTTCCCTTCTTCCAAGTGGAAGAGACAATTCCATTAAATAACCAAATATATAACCACTTTTCAAAAATACGTCACCTAAAATAACAGACTAAATTGTACAAATATTTAGCATAATACTGATATGCTCAACCTGCCTCGTTCTGAGAAAAACAATTTTCTTTGTAGGTAACTTTCTCTACCTTCTTATACTCACCTTAACATTAAACTTCAAAAAAAAAAATACTCCAAGGAACAAATCTGCAAAGATTTTATGTTCTCATAATGCTCATATAATTGAGTAATATGGCTAAAATAATGATTTGGATGAGAATTTCCTATGTGGTTGACAAGAACATATTTTAAAATGAGAAAATTAGCAAAAAGAAAATGTGTTAAGATTTCATCACAGGCTTCCTTTGTCTAAGATATCTGAAAGTCACTACCCTTAAGGAAGATAGATTCCCAGTTTTCAGAAACAATGGTACAACTAAAACTTGTAGTCTCAGTTTTTAAATGCAAATCAAAGCTGGACATATATAACTTTTGATCTTAGTAACTAAAAAAAGTAGGCTTTTGGGACATTTTCTGTATTACTCAGTTATTTTGTGGAATACACTAGACCCACACAGGTCTTTCATAAAAATGCCTTCAATAATTTCCATGCTCTTTTTAGGCCATGAAGTCTCTAAATTTCACAACATAGTAACTTGACCATTGCATTTATAAAAGGCTGATTCCATTGTGATGTTACTTACATTTCAAATTTTGAAAATTTAAAATGACCAATACATCAGATGAGATATTACACTTGAGTCTAGCCCAAACAATAAAGCCCAGACAGATTTATTCGTAGTTGAAACTTCTGAAACACTAGCCTTTTCACACACAGCAAACAGAAGTGTTATTTTCAATCTACTTTTTACCAAAAGTTGCCATTTCAACCAGTATAAAAACAACAAAAATGATTCAAAATGCTTGTTAGAAGATTATTTCTATGAGAGGTATGATTTCAGCAGTCAACCTCCTCTATCCCACCTCTTCCTAGAGTATAGATAGATGATGTGTATCAACTCAAACTGCACTCTTGGATGTCTAGGACTGCCATGAACGCCCACATCAAGTTAGTGCTCCTTTTTATCAGATCTCGTTTATAAACAGAAAGAGGCGGAGAGATGTGGAAGGAAGCACATCCCTGGTTTTTCCCCCTTGTTACAGATGCAAATTCATAGTTGAAAACTGCTTAGAATACTGTTAATTATATCTATCCTTCTAAAACCTTTAGTAGATTTTAAAAAGGAAAAATTCGTTTTTCTTCCCTCAGTTGGCAAGCATTTCTGATAGCAAGTTTTTTGGATCAATTAAGGCTCTTTTCTGACTTTTCCAATTCCCCTCTGTCTTCTAGGGGGTTTTGAAAACAACTCTCGGGGTGGGGGGAGCCCTCAAATCCTCGGGGATTTAAAAAATGAGTTTTTGTTTTGTTTTGGTTTTTTCCCTGGAAACATGGTTCTGAGCACAGAGGCCACCATAGGCTAGTTGATATTTTCTAGAAATGTGCTTTGGCATATTAGGACAAAAGGAATGGGACTCCCACCTCGATCTCCCAACAAATACCGAATCCTCTATCACCACTGCAGATTCTCCACTAGCTGCAGCTCAGCTTAGATATTCTCAGCTGAACCAACC